TTTACCTCATAATTCCACGTTATACATGGATACCTTGGAGTATGTGTCTGCTGCATACAACAGCTTTGAAACACAACTAAGAAAGAGGTTCAATGCCCGTGAACCACTCATGGACATCTGTTTCATTGTTATTTCAAGTCATCAGCATGAGATAGGGTTACTGGCTTGCTATGCAGGCTTGGCGTTACTTGTTAAGTACATATCAAATAAGTTGTGGTAGGGAAAAAAGTGTGGATGAAAACCCCTTCCACCTGAAATAAGTGGATACTTAATGCAATATTAAACACAAATACTCTCACCAGGCAAGCTATATTCTTGCTTTTACCACAAAAATCTCACTTTTACAGTATGTGTACATATATATATCCAAAAAGCGAGCAGCACTCACAGTCTTAAAAAGTCCAATCTTAATTTTAAAGTTTTAAAATCACGATCAACGTTTCAGTCCAATATCCAGGACTTTCATCAAGATCAAATCATACACACATATATATATATAAAACAAGAGGGCCCTATTTAGCCTTGTACTGCAGAGAGCCCCAGATGGAGTTTTTTTCCCCAGGTAGGTTAATCTCATAAGAGCAGACATTAGGCTGTTAGTGTAGGACCTGCCAAAGATGGGGTACATTGACGTTGTGGCAGGCTTATGCAATGTATGATCATATAATGTAACTAAACCCCCATTATTTTTGCCTAGATTAGGTGTTTTTAAAAAAACAAATAAAATCTTTCAACATTGAAGTTGCTGTTTAGTGGATAGGTGAGTGCGCTGGATCTTGTGTATTATATATATATATATATATATATATATAAATGCTTATTTATTATTAAAAAAAAGAAAAATGCAAAACAAAAGAAACATTTTGTGTTTTTTGTACAGTTTTTGCAATAATAATAATGTGTGCCTAATTAGTGCAGGTTAAAGAAAGTAATTAAAAATAAATTCATTTAGTTGTTCTGATTTACAGAATATATAATGTGTCTGGGATTTTAAGTTTTTTTGGTATTTACAGGTCACAAAGCACAAGGAATTAAAAAAAACTTTTAATGTGGAGCGATTTTAGAATTTGGTATGTTTGTCTTGTAAGCTTAATAGCCATAAAAGAAAACAAAATTGCCACACAAAAGTATATATTTATATAAAGTACACATCACATACTATTGTCCTAAGGTTGTTTTGACACTTTCTACGTAGCCATTTCACCGCCAATCTCTAAGTATTGGAGTAAAATTTTTGGGAGGGGTTTTTGGCACACAAACTTATAACAAAGAATTTCTCATGTATTTTGTAAAGTTGGTATGTGCTATTCCTGTAAAAAGTTTTATTTTGTGTTCAGTTACATCTGCTGAGTAAAATGACACCCCCATTGTATGTCCTTGGCACTATTTCGTGAAGTTACAGTGCCATATAGGATACCTGTCCTTTTCAGTATTCACAGTAGAATTTTGAGAAACGGATTTAATGGGCCTATGCTTCAATTTGGGGTATTATAGCAGTTTGACTGTTCATAAAAACCCCACAAAGGCCTAACATTTGTAAAAGTAGACACTCCAGGTTATCTCATATGGTGCATATTGTGCCTTAACATGCCCCCATTTTTTCACCAATATATGCCAAAGTATATGGTAAAAAATAATTTTGAGCATTTTTTACATAAGGATTACATTTTTGCTAGGCATTTTGTACATTTCATATGTGCCACTTAGTTCAAACCCCCCAAATTATGCTCAGCTAAGTCTTCTGAGTAAAACAATATGCCCAATGTATTACCTAGACACTATTTTGTGAAGTTACACTGCTGTAAAAGAGACGTGACAAGTTAACGTTTTTAAGTGTAAAGTAATTTTCATGGAGGGTTTTGAGGCGTCCGTGTCCCACTTTGGAGCACTTGAGCAGGCTACATATTACAACTACACCAAAAAGGCATACAATTTCTTAAAGAACACATCCCAGGGTATTTCAAAAGGCATATTTTGAACTTTAGCGTGGGATCATTTTTCCGCTAGCTTGTACCAAAAGTAGTGGTAATAAGCGTTTTTTTGCCTTTTTGACACACAAAATGAGTTTGCACAGTATATTTTGCAAATCGTATGTGTGTTACGACTGTATAATACTTCTTATGTTGCTCAGCTATGTCAGCTGAGTACAGCAATACCCCCGTATGTACCTTTGCCTGGTATATGTGGACATCGGAGGGGCACATTTGGGACACAGCCATTCCAGTTCTTTTCAAACTTTGAATTTTTACGCTGTGTCCATGTCCCATTTTAGAGTATTTTACAAGGCTATATAATCCAATTACACCATAAAGGCATACCATTTCTTAAAGAAGACATCCCAGGGTAATTCAAAAGGCATATTTTGAACCTTAGCGTGGGATCATTTTTCCGCTAGCTTGTACCAAGTGTAGTGGTAATGAGCATTTTTTTATGTATTTTTTTACTTTGTAAAACTTTTTTTTACTTTGTAAAACCTGTTTTATTTATTAAATGTTTGACACTTTCTTAACTTTTTTTACACTTAAATTTTTTTCTAAACTTTTCTTTTACTGTTAACCCCTAGCTAGCAGTAAGCAGCACTAACAGTAAATTCCCCCCTTTCCCATAACTCCCATCCACTCCAGCTAGCAAAATATATATAATTATAAAATATTTAAATTAATTAAATAAATTGAACCTCTGAGGGTTAAAAGATAAATAAAAGTTAATGCTCAAGGGATAAAAGAAATTAGATTACAGTATAATACTGTGATCTGTATTTTGATCACTGTAGGCAGTGATCAACTGGCAGGGAAGGGGTTAATTTTTATTTAGATTGGGTAAAGGTGGGTGGTATTTTTTACTTAAACGTTACTAAAACATTTTTTAAAAAACCTTTTTTTACCTTTTTAAAGCTTATTTTAAAACTTTTTTAACGTTAACCCCTAGTTAGCCTAACACCAAATTCCCCAATTCCCCACTAACTTCTACCCATCCCAGCTAGCTAAATATATATAATTTTTAAATATTTAAATTAATTAATAAAATAAATTTAACCCCTGAGGGTTAAAAAAATACTTAACCCTCAGGGGTTAAAAGAAAAAATCAGATGACATTAAACTGTAGTCAGTGATCAATTGGCAGGGAAGGGGTTAATTTTATTTAAGCAGGGGAAAGGGGGGGGTGGGATTTAACTTTATTTTATTTTTTTACACAGGGAGAAGATCAGCAGCACTGATCCGTCTCCCTGTTTTTCACACAGAACCCGGAAGTGCAGGGAGGTGGAAGGTGAGTATATACAGCACATGTGCTCGCTCTGACAGCCTGTCAGAGTGAGCACCGGTGCTGGGGCAGCCCGATCGGGTGCTCCCGGTCTGCCTCTAATACACAGGCAGACCGGAGCACTGTTAACCCCGCGATTGCGACGATCTGGGGTTAACTCTAGTAAATGACGGAAATTTTCGTCTGCGGTCGGGAAGGGGTTAAATGGAAGTTTTGTTATCTTCAAACATCTACCTGTCTTTGTTATTTTCTGTTATTAATGTTATTTTACATGTATTTAATGTATAATAATTTATAACACAATATCTATCCAAAGAATTAATTAATAAATAACAAGCAAATATTTTCTTTTTGTTGGAATATTGTTCTATGGTTAAGTGAAGTTATAAGGTTATAAGTAGCTTTAGACTTTGCTAGGTTTTGTGTTAAAGGTACAGTTTAATTTTTCTGTATCACTGGAATTAGCTCAACCGAGTGAAGTGTTTGTAATCAGTCAAGTTATATAAAGATTTGATACATTTGAAAAACCGCAGAAAGGCAGATGATTAGATGCCCATTTTTTTTTCTTATTAATGATTGAATGGGTTTAATTTGATTAGAATGGCTGAATTCTAACATACTTGTGACATTAATCTGCTATTAATTTACTGTTTAGTGTTTAAATAAATTCTAGTTTCTAATTTATAAATCAACATAAAATATTTAATATCTTGTTTAATTTCCCTTCTAGGTTAATCCCAAGAAGGAAAGATATTGGATTCATGTAAGCTCCGATGGTTTAAGATTTGCATCTACATGGAAATATGGCGGCCTATATCTCGATGCTGATGTAATCTCAATGCAACCCATTCCACATGAGAATTTTCTTGCAGCAGAAACTTTAAGTGTTTGCAGCAGTAGTGTTTTTGAACTTAATCGCCATCATAACTTCACCTGGAAATGTATGGAAGACTTTGTAAAAAACTACAAGGGAGAAGTATGGGGATATCAGGGACCATCCCTCTTTACACGTATTATGAAACAGTGGTGTGTACTGCCTCCATTTAAAAATACAGAAGATGTCACTTGTGGTAATATCCCCTACTTAAACCCTCAACGTTTCTATCCTATTCCTTGGGGAGCTTGGAAAAGATACTATGAGGTTTGGGAAGAGTTACCATCTTTTAATAACTCCTATTCTTTGCATCTCTGGAATTATATGAATAGAAAAAATGAAAAAATGGTGGTTGTTGGAAGCAACACACTTGTGGAACATCTTTTTCAGCGCTACTGCCCAACAACCTATGCATCCATATTAAATGTCACTTTTCATAGAAAACCACACTCTCCTTTAATCTCACGTGCTTAACGGTCTTGATGTTGGCAAATCCTCAGTCAAGCAACAGGCAAAAGAAAGTGATAGTCCAGGCACTCAAGATTAGGTAACAAGCAGATTTATTATAAAAACACAGCATCTGCAGTTCTCCAATAAATCTGCTTATTACCTAACTTTGAGTACCTGGACCATCCCTTTCTTGCCTACTACTCATATGTAGAGATCTGTTTATTAAATATTGTGGTTGGTTAAAGTGAAAATAAAATAAACGAGCAATGATCTTTTAGCTATAGTGGATAATGTATGCAGTTAGTTTGGTTTATATCTGCATCTAATTTGAAAATAATGTATCTAGGTGTTTGATCTAGTACATTGCAATAAGATAATTATTAAACATAATTTAAGTAACATGTTTTTTTTTTGTTTTTTTTCTAGAATTCTGCAATGATTTAATCATAGGTGGTGGGCTCCAAATAAATAAAATAGTTTAGATTTTTTAAAATATTATTGCAACATATTATATACTATCAAGGATCCAGAAAAATATTTAAAAAAAAAATTCTTGGATGTAAAGTATATTTCGCTTAAGTATACCAAAGTACTGCAGCTTTTCTTGAAATAAATGAAAAAAAATGTATAACTATACAAAATGAAAAATAGTAATAATACAGTGAGCAAGCAGCTTGGGAAATAATGGCAAGTAAAATGAAATTAGAAAAGTAATAAAGTCAGTATAAATATAAAACTGTTCTTCCTAAATTGTGCAGTAATAAAATTAAATGTGCATTTGTGTTTTTTTTTTTAAATGTTTTATTATTTGATGTTGTTTTTTTATTATGGCTAGGTGAAGTTTGCACCCCATGTTTTTAAAACATGAATAAAAATATACCATTTATTTGTGCTATGTTTTTGCTGATTTGTGCCACAACAATGTTCGTTTGTGCCAGTTTGGTTCTCTTAAAATTGCACATTATATTTTAGATTATGTGACCTCAAGACATGCCCACTTTACACCCTATGTAACTAAATTTAAAAACAAACATACCATCTGTTAATGCTGTGTTTTTGCTGATTTGCACTGCAAAAATTAAAGTTGGTTTTGGAGCTATTGCTCATTATTGTTTCATTCCATATTATTAAATCTTAAATATAAATGTACCATTCATGGGTGCTGATTTGTGCAGGAAAAATAAATGTCTTGGAGATATACTTAAAGGACCACTATAGTGCAAGGAAAACAAACTCGTTTTCCTGGCACTATAGGGTCATTAGGTCCCCCCCACCCTCAGGGCCCCCTTCCCGCTGGGCTGAAGGGGTTAGAACCCCTTCAGCCACTTACCTTTCTCCAGTGCTGGGCTTCCTCGGTGCTGGTGACCTCTCCTCCCCCTGCCGACGTCAGATCTGAATGCGCAGGCGCGGTAAGAGCCGCGCGCATTCAAACCACTCAATGCTTTCCTATGGACATCCAGGGTCTTCTCACTGCGATTTTCACAGTGAGAATCATGGAAACTCCTCAAGCGGATGTAAGTGAGACAGCCACTAGAGGCTGGATTAACCCTCAGTGAAACATAGTAGTTTCTCTGAAACTGCTATGTTTTCAGCTGCAAGGTTAAAACTAGAGGGATCTGGCACCCAGACCACTTAATTGAGCTGAAGTGGTCTGGGTGCCTATAGTGGTCCTTTAACATTATTGTTTAAAGGGACACTTCAGGCACCCAGACCACTTCTGCCCATTGGAGACCACCCTTAACCCTGCAAGTGCAATTATTGAAATTTTTAAAAACGTGCAATACTTAATTTGCAAGGTTAAGTCCTCCTCTAGTGGTTGTCTATCAGACAGCCATTAGAGGGATTTCTGTGTTCTTAGAACACAAAAAGTGTTTTAAACGATGCTGGACTTCCTCCCGCTATGCATGAGGACCTCCAGCATCGCCAGAATCCGCATAGGAAAGCATTGAATAATGCTTTCCTATGATGAGGTCTAATGCGCGTGCACAGCCATTGCCACGCATGCACATTAGGTCTCCCCAGCTGACGTCAGGAGCATGGGCAGACATCGTGAGGGACATCGGAGCTGGTCCAGATAAGTAACATGGGGTGGGGGTGGGAGGGAGAGGGGCACTGCAGTGTCCTGCAGTGCCAAGATGTTTTCCTGGCACTGGAAAGTCCCTTTAATGGTACCTGCCCACTTTGCACCTTTTTTAAACAATCCATTTATTGGTTGTTCTCAGTTAGTATTTTAACAGGTTATGTCCAATATACATTTCAAGTTGGCATATTAACAATTGAGTTCCGTGTGCTATACAAAGAAATTATACTAAAACAAGAGAGAAAAAAAATAAAAATGAATAGAACAAAATACAAGCTAGAGCATTAATTCTCACTCAATGTTATACAACATATGCACTATATAGATACTGCACTCCAATGAGGAAGTTACCGTTGTGTAGCCACGGACACCCGTGGTCTCATTAATACCCTGCTTCTCCTGATGCCTTACCCAACCTAGGATGCTTTTCCAAGAGCAGAGGTATTTTGACAAATGTTTTTCCACATGTTTTTGCAGGCCTTGAGTAAATGCACTGTTGAGGTGGACTTATGTTCTATTTGTTTAATTTGTTTTGGGAAGGTGATAACTTTTGGAGGAGTTGCAGCTGTACTGGATTTCCATTACTTGGGTGTACAGAATAGACTCAGTGGAGGAAAATGACAAACTGGGAGTGAAATTAAATTTCACCCAGAGGCTGGTTAAATCAAATTGGCTCGGGGTTTCTTCAAAAAGTTTTTTTATACATTTCGAATATTGGAAAGAAAATTCAAGGATGGCAAGTGTTCAAACAGCTATTCAATACTCTATTGACTAGTTTTCATATCTACTGGCCAAGTACTTATGCATTATGTTATGCATTATTATTTCAAAACTTTATTGCTGCAGAAGAATGCTAAAGTTATCAGACCTCTCCAGGATCACATGGCCGCAAATGGGGGTCTATGGAGCTGCCAGCAGGGGGACTTTTTAAGCTGTCAGGCAGCTAAAATGTGTAAAAAATTTTTTTAAAAAATAATAAAATAAATATATTATATATGTATAATATATTCTAAATTAATTAAAGCATTGTATAATATATAATGCATATATATGATAATATAAATAAAAAAAAACATTTGATTTATTATTAATATATACACACACAAACACACACACTCTACGTATATATTAACTACATAATTATTTGATTTTATTAATTATAATTTGAGGGACCTGTCTGACAACCCAGGTAGACAGTCCAGATAATTTAATTGTCAAGCCCTATATTTAACCCTGTACCTTTCCAAAAACCATAAAACCTTTACATGGGGGGTATTGTTATACTTGTGAGACTTCTCTGAACACAAATATGAGGTTTTTTTTTTAAAAGTAAAACTTATGACGATGATATGACCAGTAAATGTGCCGTTTTTGTTTAACCCCTTAAGGACACATGACGTGTGACATGTCATGATTCCCTTTTAATCCAGAAGTTTGGTCCTTAAAGGGTTAAAAAATGCAAAAAAAACAAATAAAAATGCTAACTTTGGCCAGCATTTGTGACTAAGTGGCTACTACAAAAGACTGGAAATACCCCATTTTGAATACCCTGGGATGTCTACATTTGAAAATGGTATGCCATGATGACTTTAATTAACATTCCTGGACTACCATATGGTCTCAAAAGGCAACATAGACCCAGCAAACCAATGAATACAAATATTAGGGTTTCAAAACAGTAAAACATATCACAGCGATGATATTGTAAGTGAAAGTGACTTTTTTTGCATTTTCACATAAAAACTGCACTTTCACTGATGATACAATTATTTTGATATGATTTACTATTTTAAAACACTAATATTTGTGTTCAGCGAAGTTTCCTGAGTATAACAGTACCCCCATGTACAGGTTGTATAGTGTTTTTGAAAGTTACAACATCAAATATAAGGCTTGATTTTCAGTTTTCTCACATTGAAATTTGCCAGATTGGTTATGTTGCCTATGAGAGGGTATGGTAACCCAGGAATGAGAATTACCCCATGATGGCATACCATTTACAAAAGAAGACAACCCAATGTATTGCAAATGGGTTATGTTCAGTCTTTTTAGTAGCCACTAAATCTTTATGCCTTGAGGTGAAATAATTTATCCTAAAATTCCAAAATGTACTACTGTAAAAGAAGTCCAAAGTATCTTGGGATTTTCTAATTTCTAAAAATGATTCAACCCCTTACGCAACGTACGCATAAGAACATTCCTTTTAATTGAACTGCTGACACTTAAAAGACATTTGATTTCCTCAAGCAACGTTTTACATCTGCACCTATACTCATGATGCCTAACTCTTTTCCTTTCATCCTGGAAGTGGACGCTTCAGATAACGCAATAGGTGCTGTGCTTTCTTAACAAATAAGTCCTCAACATCCTTTACATCCTATTGCTTTTTTCGCGCACATTATCTCCCGCAAAAAAATAATAAAAAATTATGCAGTTGATGAAAAAGAATTATTAGGAATAAAAGCTTCTTTCGAGAAGTGGCATCATTTGAGGGAACTAAAAATCCTTTACTTGTCTACACTGATCATAAAAACCTTGAATTTTTGCAGACAACTAAAACATTGTCAGCACGTGAACTCAGATGAAATCTGCTTTTTCAAAGGTTCAATTTTCACATAGTATAAAGACCTGGTTCAAAGAATAAAAAGGATGATTCTCTATCACATATACATCCTCAAGATGATAGTACAAATGAACCGACTTTGATCATATCACCTTCTAAATACATTGGAATAACATCTCAATTTATAAGCAAGATAAAACAAATTGATAAGGAAGAACTTCAAATTCCTATCAACTCCAGTTTAACTGAACAAGAAGGTGTTTGTACTCATGCCATACCTCTCAAAGATATAAACCTGTCCTTCAACATCCTTATGGACTATTAATGAGTCTGCCTGTTCCTGATCATCCATCTCTATGGATTTAATTGTTCATCTACCCATGTCTCAAAAACAAACCACTATTTTTGTGGTTGTGGATTGTTTCACTAAAATGTCTAATTTTATTCCAAATTATAAAATTCCTTCTTCACTCGAATTATCAAAATCATTTATCTCAAACATTGTAAGTCTTCATGGGTTACCTGATGAAATTATCAAGGATCAAAGTTCACATCTAAGTTCTGGAAAGAATTGTGTAAGAGTCTTGGATTTGTAAATAAATTCTCCTCTTCATATCACCCTCAGACAAATGGGCAAACAAACAGAGAGTGAATCAATGTCTGGAATAGTATCTTAGATCTTTCTGTACCCATCTTTGGCTGAGTTTGCTTATAATAACTACATTCAAGCACAAAGATGACACCCTTTAACTCCAATTATGGGTTTCATACAACTTTTCTTCCTTCTGATCTCATTTGTAGTTCCAATACTTCTGTAAATTTTCAAATAGAACAAATGTCAAACGTATTTAAAACTCTAAAAAGCAATCTTGAATCTTCCTCCTCAAGTCCAAAAAAATGTACTGACAAAAAGCAAAGACCTCCTCCTGAATATAAGGTTGGACATAAAGTCTGGCTCTCTACAAAAGATATTGAAACAAACAGGCCTTTAAAAAAAAAAAGAAGGTGGAGCGTTATAAGTGAGACGGAATGTCACAACCAACAAGGCCCAGTGGAGCGCTAATGTAACAAAGTACAACTTACCCTTATAATAAGGGATACAAATGTATATATGGAAGTATCTAGGAAAAAGAGATGAGGGAAAACAATTGGTGCAGTATGCTAAGGCTTGAGAAATCAAAGGAAACTTGAATTGTAGCAAACTCACATGATTAAGAGCCTGAGGAGGATAGGCTCAAATCACAATCGCAGCGGTATTTAAAGTGAATACCCAACTTCTTCTGAGATGATTTTCAAATGCTTAAAAAGAGAAACAGAGGGACAGAATCCTAGTGTAATATCCCTTGGACCAGTATAGCAATAAAAATTGATAAAGGTACTTGCTCACCTTATTGAGAGGAAATAACAGTTCAAGGAACTTATATAGAAAAATAAAATAAATTTATTACACA